TGAGGGGGTGTCAAAGGAATGACAAGATAATGAAACTTCCCACGGGCTTCTGGAGAGCCCGTCTTATCTCCACGCATGTTCCATTTCTAGCCAGCGACAGCATGACTTGCCTCTAGTGCCTACTGACTGGGTCTCTCTCTGTAGCAGCGCACAGCATGCAGCGTGAAGGGCCCGAGGGACTGCTTACCTGGAGGCCCCAGGTTTGACTCCCAGCATGCCCCAACTGTCTTTACTGTTTCGGATCCTGCGAATGCTGTCTGCTTGTTCTTTGGTGAAACTCGCATTGCTGTTTGTGACTGGACGCTTCCCGCCGTTCTCACACAAATCAACGATGGACACGTAAAAGGTCTGCAAGAGCAAGCACATCCCCTGGCAGAGCTGACTGTGGAGCGGGCCTTCCCACCGGCAAGGTCCCATTCAGGGACTTTTAATGCATTCCAACACACTCACCATTATGAATAGAGAAATAGGTACTTTGGAAAAAAATTTTTTTTCTTAGACTACATTTCTGTGTATGTGCTTTCAGTACATGAATACTGAAAATTCATAAATAATAAAATTTCAGTGACTCAGATAAGTCCACTTGAGGTAGGAGATGAAAACTGTGACCATATGACCGAACAAGTCTATTCCTAGATAGGTAAACACTCCAAAGAACTGAAAATCGGTATTTGAACAAGTGTATTTTCATGTTCTGTGAACACGAAGCACTATCAATAGGCGGGATTTTTGTACAGTGGGAAATGTTGAGCCGTACAGCGGAACGCAGGGCGAATGCATTCTGCTACGGGAAGGGGTGCAGGCATGAAAGGTCACAGAGGCGGGGTTCCACTTAGGTGGAATGCCCACAGAAGCAGGCCCACAGACGGCCACCTGGAGCTGAGGAGCGGGACGACGGGAGTGAGCGCTCCAGGGGTCTGGGTCGAGCAAGACGTTTTCACACTAGAGAACGCACAACACGGTGAACGTGCAGAATGTCACTGGACTGTATCAAATGGTTCATTCTGAAACTTCAGCCTTCTTATCCCTCACGGTCTCTTTTAAAGATCATCATTACTAATTTGTTTTGTATCCTTCCAGAAAACTTTTCTATCAGTATACCAGTCCATTCACACCCTTCAAATATTTGTATTAGTGGGATCAGTTAAACATACCCCCCGCCCCAATAGTAATACATCTCAGACTCTTTCTATAGCTGGAGAGCCCTTCTCATTCCTTGCACGGACTGCTGGGGACTTTTGCTGTGTGGCTGTATCATACTTGTTATTTCCCTTTCCATTTGTTTGCTAACACAACAGTGCTGTAGTGACTATTGTGTGCGTGTGCTATCTGCACCCTCGTGGGGACATTGCTCTGGGAGACAGTCTTAAAGCAGAGCCGCTGAGCACATAAAGTACTGCTACAAAACCAGAGGGACGCTGTGAAACAAAATTACCAAAATGGGAAGCTACTGTTTCTCCACATGTACACAGCCTTCTATCTCCGTTTTCTTTTAAGCGTTCCATTTTCTGGGTTATTGTGTTGGGTGCCCTACGTGGGCACCGACTCCATAGCGGCGGCAGAGCGAAGCACTGCCCGGTGCCGCGCCCCTCACAATGACTGCGATGTGGAAGCCCACTGCTGGGTCCGGACCCCTC